CACACACACACACACACACACACACACACACACTTGGAGAGCGCGCGCAAGGCAGGAAAACCTTCCCCTCCTTTTCCAAAGCTCAAGGCTGCACTTCTTGGAAGTGAGCGGGTTTGGGGTTTTGTTCCCCCCCCCCGCACTCCCCTCCTTTTCCTCCACCCCTTTTCCCTTCCCCTCCCCCCTCAGCTGTCTTTCTAGCATGATGCCCTTTTTCATTCCCATTTGTGTTTCAGGTGTAGAGAGGAGAGAGTGAGCAGGGAGCGGGCTTTTGTCTGTAAGTATATGCCATTCCCATCTCCGGCTGGGAGCGCTGCTTTCTCTTTTGTGTCGATTCCTTGCCATGGCTCTTGGCTGGACCCTTCTTCCACCCTGCAGAGTTCATGCTTTTTCTTCCCTCTAATTTTTAAAGAGCCCGAACGTAGACCTTGGAGAAATTCTGTCATCTCGGTGCTGCTGCAGGAAGGCTAGAATTGAACTTGAGCTGCTTCTTTCTTTTTCATGCTCAAGTCGGAAGGAGAAATGAAATCTTTTGAGAAGGGGTGGGGTTTTGCTTGCTAGGGTGGTTGATTTTGCTCTTCTTGGCTCATTGTTAGAAACCGGTTTGTTTCTTTGCATTAAATGCACCAGGGTGCCTGCTAGGATCCCCCCCCTCCCCTTTATAAAATGAATTTGTACCTTCTTATCCTTATACTGGCTGACTCTTCAGCACTACTGCGACTGAGTCTTCATGCTTTCTATCCTGCAACAGTTTTTTTTTTTTTCCCTCTGCATTTTTAAAATAAAGCAGTTGAACTTGGGTGGGGGGGAGGAAGCTAAAGCATAATTGACTATTTTTTTCTTGGCGATGATAATAATCTGATTTGCATTTATGCATGTATAACAACATTATAGGACAACTCTTAAGAGTTTATGACACCCTTTCGGAGAACTTTTAGTTGTTCCATTCATCTTAATGTTGTCCTAACTTATATTAATTGACAAAAGAGCTGTGTTCCGATGGCATGGAGGTCGAGGGCGAATCACTGCAGCATGTACATGAATGTTTATTTGATCTAGGGAGAAGGGCACAATGGTATATTTCTGACTTTTTCTCTGTGTAGATCTTTCTTCTTTCTTTCTTTCTTTCTTTCTTTCTTTCTTTCTTTCTTTCTTTCTTTCTTTCTTTCTTTCTCTCTCTCTTTCTTTTTTAAAAAAGCACGGAAGGTTATGTAATGCAGTGCCATTTCCAAAAATATCCACTCTGAGGCATTACACTACGGTGGAAGGCTGGATCCCATTCTGCCGCCTTGATTGCAAATATACTGCCAGTAGTATGTCTGGGAACAAAGAGAAGCCAGAAAACAATCTATTTTTATCACTTGAGTCTACTTTTAAGTTGCTAAACCTTTTGAACTCCTCCAATTTAAAGATGAGCTAGACACTTAAGAATAGCTCTGGATGGTGTAAGGCCATGTATGAGGGATTCCTTTGTCCCTACTTCAACCTATAGACCACTTGGAAAGCTCTTCATGAATCCCAGTGGTTTTAATCATTTGCCTATAACTTACCTCAGCCACAAAGAGTGGTTGTTTGTCTGTAACCTCTCTCAGGACGTTTTGGTTTTTCTTTTGCTGATCTGTGACTGATGAGGTAGTATGTCTACTATATTTAAATATATTTTGCAGGTTGGTCTCCCTGGACTGAAGAGAATAGAAGTCCAAGACTATTAAGATTCTCAAAATGGTAAGAACTGGTCACCAGAGGAAATTCTCAGTAGCTTCTCATCAGTTTTTATCACATGTAAATATCAATCACCTACCTTCACCCTCTTCAAGTCTTCATTGTTCCTACCTCATCTGACCTTTAAAAGATTCTATCTCCAGCATGTGGGAGCTGTGCACTGTGCACTACAGCAGTGTGTGTGAATCAGATGTGGTGAATTAGATCTTTTGACTTGCAGTCATTCTGAATAGAAAACTGAAATCACAGAGCAAAGACTAATTTAATTCACACAACAAAAACTACTCTGCTCTTTAAGAAAAGTGATGGGTTGTGACAGGCGTGAAAGGGGTGATGGCGGCAGGGCTCAGACAAAGCCATGGCTCTTACCTTACAAATGGCCAGAACTTCTTCAGAAGTTAGGTATCTGGGTTCAACTGGTCAGCAACAGTATGTGCTGTCTTTAAGAGTCAATACATGTGAAAATATGAAATTGTAAGTTATTATGTCCTGTTTGTGTGTAAAATATATTATTGCTTTTTTACCCCCTGATTTGTAACTTTGTTTACAAGACATCTACACATGCTTTAGAAGTCAAGCATGTTAACCTCTAAGTAAAAGGATAGCTGTTTCAAATAAGGGTTATGATCCATAAAGAAGAGAGCTTAATGTTTGAGTTCTTGTGAAGTAAAAGAGAGAATTCACATTAAATCGGGTGAACATGTATATTAAGCTGAAAATTTTCCTCTTTGGAAATAAGATTGAACTTAGAAAAATAATGGAAAGATATAAAGCTTTTCACTGAAGTATATAGTATATCCTGCTGCAGGTATTTATGCTTTTAAAGACACTTCTTTCCCACTTAAATGTGTGATTTCCAAATTTAGTTTTAGGTTTTTCTTTTAAATGAGAATAGAATTTAGTGAATCAGAACTGAATCCAATATGCTCATGTTTTCTTTGAGAATGTCCAAGAATAAGCTTCTAAGAGGAAAAAAATGAATCAGGCAATTAAATGAGTTCAGATTGCTTTTTATTAACAAGTAAGCATTTGAATGTGTATGTGTGTGTGTGTGTGTGTGTGTGTGTATTTCACCTGTTATTTAAAAGAGTGGGTGTCAGAATAGTAACTACAGTAGGTCTGGCCTGGACCAGTTTGATAATGATCCAATTAAGAAGCTTGGAGTAGAAAGACAAGACAGGTGAAGAAGGCAAAATTAAACTAATCAATGGGCTTTGTGCAAACAATTCCTAACTTGATATTAAATTCATAATTAGCTATTGTCATAGAGTATTAGGATGGTAATAAAATGGACTGCTGGAAAGTATTTTTGTTTACTTAATTCTTTTATTCTGACTGGAACACACCACCTTACCGCCTACTTGTATATATGCCAGAATCTTTTCCATTCTGAGTTACCATAGACACACCATGAAGGTTGCATGTTGCCATTTTGTCAGATGATGATTTGACCCTGCCAAAACTAGCCCTGCAGACTCAGAGTAAATATTATGTTTCTGAAGTAGAGAGGGGGATGAGCATTGTAAAAGGCAAGCTATCGTGCCAGAGACCAGAATGAAAGTTGGAGCCATTTGAATATAAAAAAGCAAGTGTGAATTAATATTACATGTTAATTTCCTACAGTTGTCATTTTATGTATGGTGGCAGAATGGGAAATTCTAGTTTGTTGCTTTGGGAAGGATTTTTCCTCATGAAAAACAATCTCACAACTTCTTGGTGATCCTTTCATCAAGATGTCAGTCCTTTTTGGCACAAGCCTATCGCCTGAAATGAAACCACTGACAGTTATTGTCTGTGGGTGATCCCAAGGAACTTTCTAGCAATTTTTTTACTCTGGAAAGTCTGAGTTCTTAAAACTTTGCACATACTAATGTTGCTGAAAAAGAAAAAAAAATGTTTCAATTGATTTTTTTAGGGGAGTGATATCAGATATATCTTATACCTCTTTCTCCTTTTTGGCAACATGAAGTTAATATCCTTATTTCTTTTCCTTGTTAAAATTAGTAGCTTGCTTAGAGAACAGGCTCAGCCACATGCAGTCAAAATTACTGTGAGGGAGCTAGGAGCTTCCATCCCTGATCACCTCCAGAACATTCATAAGTACAGCTTTCTTGTTTTTTTTTAAAGAAACATTTTCATTTACATAGTGCAAAATACTAAAGAGAACCTGTATGTAATGAAGCCATTCCAAATACAAATTCATAATCAACTACATCCAGTGTAAGAAATTAATGAGTGGACTCCAGAATTCTTCAGATTGTGATTCAACATCCAGATTGTTATATCCTTTAAACTGATAATGGTTCTTAGCAATAGTTTGGAGAGATGAAGGAATTTTAGTGTGTCTTTTGCATTACACAATACATATATAAATATAGATAAACATATAGTTATATGCCAAAACAACAACAAAAAAACTACCATATTGTGTTTGTGTGTATTTGCCTCTTAGGGTACAATTGCTGGGGGCGCCATCACATGGATCATGGTGTGTGGAAAAAGACACCTGGGCTTGTACAACCCAACTGTGTTGTTACAATTGTCAATTCTGAGCAGAGTTTCCTGTCTCTTAGTTGAAACAATATTCTTTTCAATAATTCATTCTCCAACCTGAAGTTTTCAGTGGGACATGCCCACTTTCCCCCTTTTATATTTTTCAATTACTAATGTGTGTAGTGTTTTTCATTTTTGTGAGTCTGCAGAGATCTTCAGCACATCTTTCATTTATATTTGGCTTTTTATTAAATTTTAACTTCCAGAACTACCTTTTTTCAGATTTTTATTATTGACTTAGGTATTTTATCTTAAAGGTACTTGATTCAGATACATCAACAAGAAGAACATATTTCAGAATAAGTAGCTGAGCCTGTTGAGTAGTTTGAAAGCTAAATTATTTAATCCAGTTTTAAGTCCCGATTTTGAATATAATCTCCCTTACTATACAGTACACTTGCCTCCCCAGTATCTACTTCCAGAGACTCAGAGTAGCAAAAATATAAGTGACTTGTTATGTTTTATCAGAGGCCTAAGAATTGAAACAATTTAAGTTTTCTTTGTGGCAGGCTGAGCTTTTCAAAAAGATGAGTTGACTCCATTGTACCATTCATATGCCCTGTTTTCTGTAGAGTCTGTGAAGTGGCATTCATAAGCTTATTAGGAGACTCTTCAATAATCTCTTTACTAACATAAGCTTTCCTTGTTAAAAGAAAAAGACAAAGATGGGAGTGGGGTGGGTTCTATTGGTAGCCATTACCATTGGGTTTGGAATGTACATTGACAAATTGCTCTGGACATTTTTTATTGTAGAGATGCTGTAGAGTACCAAGGAGGGTAATTTTATATGATACTATCTTCTCTTTCGCCAAGCCTTCCTGTGCACAACAAGGATTAGCAACTGTTTGGGGAACTAGGACAGTAGAGATAGTCTAGCTGGATTTAATCCCAGTCCGGCTTCCTCTTGAGCTCTATAGATAATTCAGACTGGAAAGGGGATATAAGTACAAATCTTGGAATAAACAGCTATTCAAAGTAACATCCCATTGTAACTTGATCTAACTCTTAATAAGTTAAATATAAATCGAATCATTATGTACTAAAGGGATTCTCTTTATTTTAAATCCCGAACATAAATATTTCTAAAATAGAAAAATATGTTTCTAAAGTATAAATTTTTTACTAACCTACACAAGTAATCCTCACCTGTGAATTGTGTACGTTCAGGTATTCTCCTGGTCATGGCACTTCAGGAGTACAGTCAGATACTTTGGACTGCAGGGAAACTTAGAAGGAAGCACTAAACTTGCTTTGTCCTACCTTTCCCCCTTGGTGGAAAGTCTTTTAGGGCATATCCTCATAGCCCAAGTGAAAGGAAAGATTGAAATAATTATCTGAATAATTAGGCCTTTAAAGAAAAAAACCTTTTGGTTTTGTCTGATTCATCTTGGTAACTGGAGTGAACTTGGTAACTAGGAGTAGAAAGGATTTGCTTGAATTATCTGCATAATTCCTATGCTGTGACAAGAAAAGACTAGGGATAAGGAAATCTTATCAGCAAATCCAACTGGAATATCGCAAGGGAAAATGAATCAAATGCGGTTGGACTGTCATTTTGGCAAGTCATGATCTATTGCAAGATTCTAATTTTTAAACTGCTTCTCTGCCTTGAATTTAGAAACTGTTTAATCATTAATTGCTACCTCTCACTTTTCCTGGATTGAACTAGGGGAGGGCGGTGAAAAGATAGAGGGTCTCTAGCTAGAAGGAACTGGGAAGGGAAAGGGAACATGACATGGTCTTCCTCCTGAGAAAGTGGCCACTCTTCCCTTGGCAAGTCCCAGCAAGTTCTGTAGTGTCCCCTGCACCACAGGAGGTTGCTACTCTGCCAGCTCCCAGAAGAAGCCACTACACTCCTTTCTTTGAAGCAAACTAGGTGCTGGCATGTGCTAACCAAGGTGTCACTTCTTCTCTCCTTCTATATGTTCCTGACTAATTAGACACATATACGAAAGGCAAGTCAGCACTACTCACCACCTTAGTAAGATTGTTTACAATTTGAGGCCTACGGGCTGGTACTCTAGTAGTTAATAGACCAGAGACCATCTAAAGCGAATTTCACATGTAACATACACAAGTTTGGGAAAACGAAATCCAAGAGAGATTTTGAGGGATTTTTTTATCTCACCTTAGGAGGCATAAGCTCCAAGATCTCAACATGAAAGAATAGGACTAATACTTTTAGCCCTTCAGATACATTGGACTTATCTATAAATCTCTCAGTGAAAGTGGCACAGGTAAGCATTGTTCCTTGAATCCTTTGTGCCTTCTCCTACCTCATACTCTCAATAACCTTTTTCATCTACTGTGTTGAGACAGACCATCAGTTTAATTTCTTTGAATGAACAGATTTGCCAAGAACTACCTGAAAAGCTCCTTTATTTGCAGCCATTATGGACTCTATTTTCTTAGAGGGACGAGGTCACTTGTTACTTTAAATGTGCTCCAGG